ATCGTCTCTCGCGATGGTAGCGGGTGAGTGGTCGGGAGATTGAGGGGCTGGAAGTGGCTGGTAGTTTTTGGGGCAGGAAGATCAGGGACTGGATAGGGTTGATTGCATATTGGGGAGCTGGATATGGGGTCCTGGGAGCAGTCAGGAGGTCGGGGGTGCTGGGAGCTCAGAAGCTGGATATGGCGGGGGCTGGGAACTTCTGGAAGTTTGGGAGGCTGGAAGATCAGGGACTGTATATGGGGGGCTGGGAGTGGCTGGAAGATCGGGGGCTGGATAGGGTTGGTTGCATAATGGGGGATTGGATAGTCTCCCCCTTTTCCCACTCCTCCTTTTTGGCCCCCCCATCTCTTCATGCTACCCAACGGTGGCTTCAGCCAGAACCCCCAATTCCTGTTCCCCCTTGGGATAAACAGTTCTGATCTCAGGGTGTCTGGGAGGGGCAGAGCAGCCTCATGAGAATTGACGGTACCCCATCCCCCTCTCCCCTGCAGGCCTTCCCACCCCCTGCTGGACCAGCGGGCCCCCCACTGTTCCTCCTTCAGCTCCATTGGCGACTGGCTCCGTGCCCTCAACATGGGCTGCTACGAGGAGAAATTCAGCACCGCCGGGTTCAGCTCCTTCGAACTGGTCAGCCAGATCTCAGCCGAGTGAGTGCCTCCAGGGGCTGCAAGTTGAGAGTTAGGGGCACCCACAGAGCTGGGGACATGTAGGGCTTGGCCAGCAGGGGCTGCAGGTCAGGAATGAAGGGCACCGGCAGAACAGAGTGGAGTCTAGGGCTGGGCTGGCAGGGATGCGGGTCAGGAGTGAGGGGCACCAGTGGCGCTTTGGGGAGCTGCTAATGCCCCATCTCTCTGCCCTCTCAGGGACCTGCTCCGAATTGGGGTAACGCTGGCTGGCCACCAGAAGAAGATTCTCTCCAGCGTGCAGAACATGCGTAACCAGAACAAAACGGCCCCGTCTGGAGGAGCTGCAGGGGGGCGATTCTGACTGTCCTCCGACCCCTGGAGCTGGGACTTCACCGGATCCTGGGTTACTAATGGGACCCTGGTTGCACTGCAGGGCTTTTCCCCTGGAACTTGGGGGGGTCAAGCTTCTCCCACCCCTTCAGGGATTGCACTTTGTATATTTGAGCAGGAAGAGTTTTGTCGTTGGGGAGGACATGGCCTCTTGGTTGAGGGTTCCAAGATGGCTGCCCTCTAACCAAGTCTCAAGATGACTGATGAGCTCTTTGGTCAATGGCCAAGATGGCTGCAGTTAAGTCATCACCCAAGATGGCTGCTCTTGCTTGGGGGTCCCTAGGCAAGTGCCGTGCAGTGCTCATGCTCTCCTGAAGGCCAGCCATTGGGTGTCTCCCAAGATGACTAGTGGCTGGCTGGAATGCCCTTTGTGTGGGGCAACCAACATGGCTGATGGATGGCAGTGACTTCTGGAGATGGCTGCCCGTTGATAGTCCAGGTTCTCAAAATGACTGCCTGTTGGACAAGGAATGCATGATGGCTGCTCCGTGGGGGACACCAAAGCCAGGTGACCCTTAACATGGACATTCAAAATGGCTGCACTGCAGTCAGGTGCAAGGCTGGCTGCCAGTGACCAACATGGCCGCTCTTTCACTAGAAGCCTTATCGTCTCCCCCCAATATTTGAGCGGTAGTGATGTAATGTAATCAGGGTGCCCCCTCATCTCCCCAAAGATTGGGGGATGTCTCCCTGGTATCTACTTGAATCTCATCCCCTCTCCACCATGGGGGGGGGGAACTAAAAATATGGGGTTGCCTCCCACAAAGCCAAAGAATGACTGTCGTCAGTGATGTCATTGCTACTCAATGATGTAATTGATTTGGGATAGCCAATATCAGCAAAATCAGGGGTTGGGAGATGCCACCAGCCAGCTGCCATCTTGTGATGTCATAGGCATCGGCAGTGATGCCATTGCTGTGGCTATGTGATGTCATTGGGAGTGGCTATGGCAGTGATGAGAGAACTGGTGAAACGGAGGATGGATGATGTCAGCGCCAGATAACTCCAGGAAAGTAGTGTGTGGAATCATGATGTCTGCATAGGCAGCGTGTGATCTCATAGCCATATTGCATAATGATGTCATCAATGCTATTGTGTAACATCATCTCTGAATCATCTGGTGACAAGATCAGACAGGATTGTGATGTCACTATTACTAGCCTATGATGGATGATACTGTGCTACTGGAACTCTTGCCTACTCCCCCTGTGATGTCATTGAGCTGTGAGATCATGGTGGCTGGACCTTGGGGACGGGGGCAATGTCATGATGTCATTGTGAGGTCAGTACCTGGCACAGGGCTTTCACCTTCATATTGAAGGTGAATTTAATGTATGTGTGCTGTGACTTGCTTTTGAACCAAAGTTTTGGGGGTGGAATTGTGGGGGAGGTAATTTCCCCTGCCATTGATCTCCCAACAATGGGACCAGCCCCCTGCCCTGGAGCCAGGACAGCATACAGGGCATCAGGCTCTCCCCTGAGCCAGTGTGGAATCGGGGTGTCCCCCACCCCTCAAAATAAAGTGGGATTAAATCAAGTTAGAGGAAATGCTTGGAGATGGCACGTGATTGGGAGAGCTGCCAATTTTGCCTGGGGGTGGGGCCTCTGGGATGGAGGGGCCTGGATCAGGCTTGCCCCAGGCGCTGGGGGCTTGATGAGACTAGAGAGACTCTGAACTGGGGCCTGGGAACTGGGTTCTCTCCCTGGCTCTGGGATGTAGCTAGAACAGCTGCTGTTCCTGTGACCCAGGCAACCAGGACAGAAAGGGGAGGGGAGGAGGGAGGAAGGAAGCTGCCGCCCAGGCCCACCTCTACCCTTGGCACAGTGTGCGGACAAAAGGAATCAGTGCTGGCGGGTGGGGTCCCCAGCGCCATGAACCCCACCCAAGAGCTGGAAGAGAGCCCAGGAGTCCTGGCACCCTGCCCTGCTGTGGCCCACCAGCCCCTGCTCCTGCTATTCATGCCTTATGCACTCAGTTGATGTTTCCTTCCATTTGCACGTGGGGGGAGGAGCAGGGAGGGTTGATCTATAAAAGGGAAAGTTTATGCATTTGCAGCAGGGAATGTAAATACAGTGACAGAGGGAGGGGTTGAGCTAGCAGGGTCTGTAGGTGGGGAGAGGGGCAGGGCTGGGAGGGGTTGTGGGTTGGGAGTAAGGGGCACTGTCTGGGCTGTGGGGCAAAGCTGGGCTGAGGGGCTGTGGGTCGGGAGTGAGGGGTACTGGCAGACGGGGGGCCTGGGCTGGCAGGGGCTGTGGGTCAAGAGTGAGGGGTACTGGCAGACGGGGGGCCTGGGCTGGCAGGGGCTGTGGGTCAAGAGTGAGGGGTACTGGCAGACGGGGGGCCTGGGCTGGCAGGGGCTGTGGGTCAAGAGTGAGGGGTACTGGCAGACGGGGGGCCTGGGCTGGCAGGGGCTGTGGGTCAAGAGTGAGGGGTACTGGCAGACGGGGGGCCTGGGCTGGCAGGGGCTGTGGGTCAAGAGTGAGGGGTACTGGCAGACGGGGGGCCTGGGCTGGCAGGGGCTGTGGGTCAAGAGTGAGGGGTACTGGCAGACGGGGGGCCTGGGCTGGCAGGGGCTGTGGGTCAAGAGTGAGGGGTACTGGCAGACGGGGGGCCTGGGCTGGCAGGGGCTGTGGGTCAAGAGTGAGGGGTACTGGCAGACGGGGGGCCTGGGCTGGCAGGGGCTGTGGGTCAAGAGTGAGGGGTACTGGCAGACGGGGGGCCTGGGCTGGCAGGGGCTGTGGGTCAAGAGTGAGGGGTACTGGCAGACGGGGGGCCTGGGCTGGCAGGGGCTGTGGGTCAAGAGTGAGGGGTACTGGCAGACGGGGGGCCTGGGCTGGCAGGGGCTGTGGGTCAAGAGTGAGGGGTACTGGCAGACGGGGGGCCTGGGCTGGCAGGGGCTGTGGGTCAAGAGTGAGGGGTACTGGCAGACGGGGGGCCTGGGCTGGCAGGGGCTGTGGGTCAAGAGTGAGGGGTACTGGCAGACGGGGGGCCTGGGCTGGCAGGGGCTGTGGGTCAAGAGTGAGGGGTACTGGCAGACGGGGGGCCTGGGCTGGCAGGGGCTGTGGGTCAAGAGTGAGGGGTACTGGCAGACGGGGGGCCTGGGCTGGCAGGGGCTGTGGGTCAAGAGTGAGGGGTACTGGCAGACGGGGGGCCTGGGCTGGCAGGGGCTGTGGGTCAAGAGTGAGGGGTACTGGCAGACGGGGGGCCTGGGCTGGCAGGGGCTGTGGGTCAAGAGTGAGGGGTACTGGCAGACGGGGGGCCTGGGCTGGCAGGGGCTGTGGGTCAAGAGTGAGGGGTACTGGCAGACGGGGGGCCTGGGCTGGCAGGGGCTGTGGGTCGGGAGTGAGGGGTATTGGCAGACTGGGGGGCTGGGCTGGGCTGGCAGGGGCTGTG